ATCCGATTCGGTCTGCGTCAGTTCATGTTTACCCTGAATATGATGCGCAGAACCACTGTCGAGAACGCAAGATCGAGTCAATGCAGCAGTCGAGCGTGGTGGGTCGACTTGCATCGTAGTTGTCTTCGTCTGGGCTCCCTTTGATGACTGCTTGACAGCGTCGTCGTATTCTCGGATCGCAGTTGGTGTGACCACCGACTCCTTGTTGTGTCGGTAGTCGTATAGTTCTTTGTACCACAGCTGTGCCTCTTTTTGACATTCTCGTAGAGCTTCTGCACTCTGGTCCCACCATCGTTGTGGTAGCGGGTCTGGTACATTGACAATGTCACCCTCGTTCGGCATCTCCTTCCACTTGTCCAATCTGGCCCTGCCAGATACGGTATGTAGGTAGTATTCCACATTACGTGTGTCGAAGCGTATTCGACGGCGTGGTTTGGTAGATGTCGTAGTGACCTTAGTGTTGGCCATGAGGGTCTTGTCACGAATGACGTAACTGCGGTCGGAACGGCGTGAACGTCGAGAATTGGCTGGAGAACGTGCTCTGGCGTGGGGAGAACCACGGGACGAACCACGGCTCGTGGAACGTCTGCCACGTCCTCTGTCACTACCGTATGATATATCACGGCCGCGTGGGCTGCAACGTCCGCCGCCACGGTTGTCTCGTCCTCGGGAGGTAGATCCCGAAGATATGTCGCAACGACTTCTCGACTGACTGCGAGAGTCTGGAGACCTCCTGGAGGATGAACGAGATCGGTCGTAGCGGCGTCGGTTGCCACGTCCACGGCGCGAGTCGTCTGCGTAGCGGAACCCCCCGCGTTGTGAAGAACGTTGGCTTCCTGATCCGCGGGATGGTGGTCGGCCACGACTATCCTGACTGGAGGTCCGTGGTCGACTCGGGCTTCGCTCGGGAGTCTTCGCACCAGGCGTAAGATGAGCGCATTTGCATTTGTCGCCCTTAGTGCACTTGTTCTGTGCGAAGTCTTTACACTGCGCAACGTGTGGAAAGTTGCACTTGTCGCCTCTGTTGCATGTGTTGCGCTTGGCGAACTCGAAGCAAAATGGTTTCGACGCTGGCTTCTTGTGATTCGCAGGGGTTGACACGCTGCGGCGGGAGTTGCCACCAGCGGACGATGCTCTGGAAGATATGTTGTTCTTCCAATCCCTGGAATAGGTATGCAAAGCCTTTCATCGTTCACCATTGCGACAGTTGCCTTTCTTCCAGGCAGCGCACACGTTGACTTGAGAACGTGTCTCATGTCCGTACCGTAACTTTTGCTGGTTCTTCTCCAATTGTTTGAGCTCCAGTACGTCCACGTCCAGGACGCGCTGTCGGAGCCAATCATAGGTACGATTCGGGTCGCTGGACTTCATGCGCTGGTACTCATACATGTCTTGTTTCATCCAGGCATGTCTCCGAATCTGCGTACGAAACAGAGATTCCAAAATCTTTGGGTCGGGTGCTTATCGGCACTCCAATAGTAAAGCGTCCCAGTCAGTAATGAAACGTTCTTCATCTCTCATCCTCAGTTCTTTAAGGCGCTCGAAGTCGTGCAGGTCGTCATCAACCTCTGTCACTCTGTGGGACTGTAGGATGTGCCAGTAGATATGGCGTCATTTGAGCATGCGTCCTGCTTTGTGTTCTCTGGTTCGATGAGCCTGAATTGGTAGCGCAAGTCTGAGGATAAGATGTCGCTCAGAGCGGTAGCGAGTTTGCAATCGATGCTCTCAGAGTCTCCGCTGTCTTGTAAGTCCTCGAAGGTACACTCGGGTTGTTCAGCCACGCATAGGAAGGCATATGCTTTGGATGGTCGCCCTGAGGCGGCGCCAAAGTTCTTCCGTACCTTTTGCTGCCACTCGAGCAGCTGCGTAATCTTAGGCAAGACAGGGACTCGGACGGTGTCTGGTTCCTTGATGGGAGTAGTAGTATTGACCGAAACCGCAGACAATGGTTGTGAGGGTATCGGTACACCGTCAGTAGTCGGTTCTATGCGCACAGGAAGCACATGGCGTGTCTGTGCTGAAGCTGCCGCAGAGGCTGCTCCTGGTGACGTACGTCGTTGTTGTCCTGCAGAAGCTTGTGGTGCTTCGGCGGACGCTGCCGTCGGCCTGTGCAGGTCGGTTGCAGGTCGAAGGTGAAGACTGGTGTCGTTGGTGTGGTCGATCAGCTGATTTGTCCAGCTCGCCATGTCTTCGTGTATCTGGGCCACCTTTTGGCGCGTGTACTCATCAGTATCCCGAGAACGTTGCGAGCACCGATCAAGTCGTTGCTCGTAGGCTCGGAGACGGGCGCCCTGCGCCTCCAGCTCGCTTCCCAGACGTGCGAGGCGCCCCTCAACACGTACTTTCTCAGTATCTCTCTCACGAATAACCTGGGAGAGCTCCAACTGCGCGTGGCCCGCCGCCTTCTCAACCTCCTGCAACCTGTCAGTGAGGCGGGCGAAATCGTAAACCGTGGGAGGAAAGAGAAACCAGCTGATCAGTCTGGGCTCGTCCGACACGCAACTCTGCCAGGGCGTCCTGTACGCAAGAAAAACGCTGCTCGATGTCAGAGATCCGGTTAGCGAGTGGCTGCACGACAGCGTTGGTCGCATCAAGCCTTTGAGTGATGGCTCTCTCAGTACGTTGCAACATGTCGATCAGGTTCGACGAGTTGGTTTGTGCTTCGTCGCGAAGCGTCGCCGTAGTGTGGTCTATGTGGGATCGAAGATCATTGATCTGAAACTGAACGTCGCCAAGGTCGGTGGCCTCGGCTGGTGTTGGTCGGTTGCGGAGCTGGTCGTGGATCTCATCGTGGAGGATCCTGACTGCTGCAACGCCTGTGTCGCGTACGAGCACAAGCTGTTGCTCCATCTGCGCTAGGTAGTTGCGCAGGTTCTCGACCATCGCCGTTTGTTCACCTGAGTGCGACACCTCACGATCAACCTGGTACTGCAGTTCACCTATGATGCGTCGAGTTTCGGCAATCCTGGAATCGATGATCCCTAAGGCGCCGTCAAGATATTGGCGTATGGCTGCAGCATTGGCAGCGTTCGTCTGAACGCTCTGCAGTAGTCCAGAGTATTGCCTGGACACGAAGGTTTCAACCTGGTCTCTGAACTCAGCTATTTCACCTGCGGCGGACGTTTCCGCCAGCTGGTCGTCTGAGATGGAGAGGTGGGGAGCATAGGCTTCCCTTTGCCCCCTCTCGCGAGGAGTGCTTGGCCTCTGAGAGGCAGTACGCGGGCTCGACCTACTCTCGCCGCATGGGCCCGGGGCCCCACGACGGTTGCGCGCGGACGAGCTGCGACTAGGACCGTGTGTGTGTGGTGTCTCATCCGATGATACCTTGGGGTACTGCGTCTGCGGCTGTGCCGCCACTGGTCTACTGAGTTCCTCGAAGGTGGCTACGTGCTCCGCAACAGGAACGGTCGCAGGGCTGGGTGTACCAGCACCTGAGGTCCATCGGCGGTTAGCGCGAAAGCGCCCTGGAGTATCAGGACCAGTGAGGCTTTCGCCTGACGCAGTTGGGATTGCTCCCGACTGAGGAGGAGATGGAGGATCGAAGGTAGGCGTGTGAAACTCCTTCCTACCTGTTCCTACTCCTTCTCCTGTCCCCCCGCGGGCGGCGCTGCGGTGAAGTTCAGCAGCTAGCCGCGCCTCGGGTCCGTCGGAGCTGGGAGGGGTACCTGGGACACCAGTACAGTCCGCACTAAGGCTCTCCAACTCGTCACCGAGCCGTCGCGCCGTCGGAGAGCTCGGACGCGAGGCCCCGATGGACCCCTTACGGCGCATGCGCCGCTTGGGTTCCATCGAGGCCGCGCGCGAGATCGCGACGCGGGGTTCGATGAACAGTGACTTTAAAGGGCTGATAACCTGTGAAAGGGGTTGAAGTACAAGGGTACAGAACCCTGATCCGTTGGTAGAGGGAAGGAGGGATAGATGGATGTCTTTCCCTCCTGCACGATCAAAGGTCTGATCGATCTGTCCCAATACCTGAGCCCAAACGGCCAGGCGCAGGAGAGGTGAGGATAAGGAGTATATATGAGGTATTACACGGGTTCTATTCACAGGAGGCGTGAAGGGCGGAGCGCAGGCTGCCGCGAGCGCTGCACTAGCGCGGCAAGCGCAGGCCGGCATGAAGGCGATGGACAGAGGACGAAGAGGCAGAGCCACGCCATCAGAGGGAGCGGCGCGGAGCCGGGAGTGCCAGCAGGTGGGAGGGCGAGCGGAACCCAGCGGAGGGGCGAGGCGCCGAGATCTGGCGACCTACGAGGCGCGGCGGGCGGCGAGAAGGGCGGAGCGCCGGCAGACACGAGTGCGCTGCACTGAGCGCGGCAAGCGCAGGCCGGCGTGAAGGCGAAGGACGATGGCCGAAGAGGTAGAGCCACGCCAACAAGGGAGCGGCGCGGTGCTGGGAGCACCAGCGGTGAGCGGGCGGGCGCCGAGATCTGGATACCTACGAGGCACTGGGGGGGGCAGGGCAGTGCAAGGCGCCAGGGCAACGAGGCAGCGACACGCCCGGTGCGCGCTGCGTAGTCCAGTGCAGCGCAGCCCCCTTCGCAGCGTAGTCCGGCGCACGGTCGAGAGGCCGGCCTGAGAACCAGGCAGGCGAACGGAGACCCAGGCCAGCGGCAGCCAGGGCCGCCTGCCGGCACTATGTTTGTTCTGTTTCGTTTCAACCCCAGTCACACCAGGTTGGGATGACATATCAAGCAGAGGAGCGGGGCGACACACGCCTGGAGGAGGGTGCACGGCGATGGCATTACAACGCCCGCACGATCCCAGAGAGCGAGCACACAGACAACGATTTTAGCCGATCCGTTGCAGAGGCCAATGCCTCGGCGAACGTGGCCCATCCAGTGAGATCCCGAGGCGCCCTTCGGGAAAGAAGAAACCACCACGGGACGCCCGCGCCACACAGACGAGCAGTAATACCTGAACAGAAGCACCTGGAGAATATAGACAACTGCCAGGCGACCTGCCTGGGAGGAAAAATCCGCCACGCTGTAGTGGCAGGGGGCCAGCAAAGGCGCGGCGACAGACACCGGGAAGCCTTTTGGGGGGGGGCAGCCCCGCCGCCTATGGACCCGAACTCCACGAAAAGAACCTGCAGGGCGAAGGCCAAGCACTGAGCGCACTTGTTGTGAAGACCAAAATGCCATCTGCGAAGAACACCAAATACGCAAACCTTGAAGAGGACCCCGACACGGCACGAGAAGCCCCCCTCGATGTCGAGCCAGGCCATAAGCTTCATGGAAGTGGGGTCCAGGATGATGCCCGCTTTGGAACCGAAGGTGTTAAAGATGGGGTACGCCTGGAAGTCGGAAGACACGAGAGCCACGACACAATAGCACCCCTGGAAGAACACTCCCTTCACCTCAGGGCTGATGGACACCCAGAAAATACACGTGAAGAAAAGGCCAGATAGGTCAACGACGCGACACAGAAGTCCCACACGTTGACGTGCCAGGCTGCGAACTTCACGGACGTGGGGTACAGGACGATGCCCGCCACGGAACCGAAAATGGCGATGGGGGCACGCGGCGGCAGGTGAAGCCGTAGAGGCGACGCCCCAGGCGACGGCGAGGGGCACGGAAAAGGAGCAGCGCGGCGGCGCAGGGCGAAGGGGGAGCACAGCGGAGGCGGCAGCCGCAAGGCCAGGGAGGCCGAGCGGCGGGAGAAGCATAGACCCGAGCGGAAGCTGGAGACACGCGGGAGGGGCACCCAATGGGTGCAAAGCTGCGAAGAGAGCGCCGCGCGGGAACAGGGCGAGACGGAGGTATAGTAGGCCAGGTAAACCACTACCAGGCCCATGGACACTGGACTCAGACCAGGTCGCGGTACAGTGCCAGCCATGGGGGAGCTACCAGCGGTGGCTGCTCGAGGCAGACCAGCGCTGGCGACTGTGATCGTTGCTGGGCCAGGACGTGTCGGCGGGACACTTGCCTTTCCCCTGTGGCGGGGGACCTTTCCCTTTGCTTTGGCATACACACACACACACACACACACACGCAACACACACGCACACACACACACACACACACACACACACACGCACGCACGCACGCACGCACGCACGCACGCACGCACGCACTTTTCTTTGGCGTTGCGGCCGCGCGCGCAGCGACGGACGAAGCCAAACTGACTCAGGCACGCCTCCCTCGTCGGGGATCCTTCTGACCCGGGTCAATTGCAGACCCGGGTGAGTTAGGCTCTGCAGGATCCTGCGAGACCCGGCAAGATCCTGGGAGACCCTGCGCCCGAACCCGGGCCAGTGCGACCGTGGCTCTGCAGGATCCCGCAGGGTGCGGCGCTCTGACGGACCCCCGTTGGCCATGGGCCCCCGTCGCTGCCAACCCCCGGGCACCGTCGGCGCCCTCCGCCGTGGTCGTCTCGGGGCCCGAGCGGGCCTGCGGCCCTCGCCCGCTGCGTGCACACCAGGAACAGGCACAGATCCAAGGACCCCCCACGCTGTCCATGCGTGGGCGTCTTCTGCGTCGGCGTCTCGACATTGGGCGGAAGAGAGGGGGAGAGGGGGGGATCTGGCTCGGGGCCTCTGCTCAATGCAAGTGTTTGCGGCAGTGCATCCTACGGGGGAGACTCCACCTGCTAAAAACAGGAGCCCAAAACAGCCAAGATCTACTCCAGGGGGGGGCGAGGGCCTGCGACGATCGGCAAAACAAGGAATAAGAATGCGATCACCTTGCGCACTTTCCTTCATCATCCCACCAGCCTCTTAGGGCGTACGTGGTCTAGGATGTTTTGTCTTCCATCTGCACCTCTTCCCCTTCGGGGAGGGGTTTATAACTGTTCCTTGTTAATATACTTCCCCTTCCCCACCCGACCGGCGGCCAACCAAGAACCATGCCGACTCCATGCGGGCCCGCCCCCCACCATCCCTGTCAAAAAACCATGCAAACCGCACTCTGCCTCCACATTTGGAGCATGCGCGACCAACCCGATGCGCCCCCCTCAACATCCCCGTCAAAAAAACAATGCCAAATACACTTTGGGGCAAAATCTTGAGTCGTGTTCGTGAGGCCCGCAAACACTTTGTCCTTTTGTTGGCAGGGACGGCGTGGGTGTCTGCATCTCCCCTGCTGTGGGCAGGCTACAATCCCTAAGAAAAACAATACAACATGCACCTCGCGGCTGAATCTGGATCATGCGCGGCCAACCCGCGATCACTGTCGAATGGTTTTAACAGGGACGGCGGAGGTGGTGGCGCGTGGCCTGGTTCTCGCAGGCCCACCAGACACAACGATGGGCATTGGTTTTCGACAATGATGGCGGGGGCCGACATGTTTCCCGATGCGTGCTGTCACGTGCGCAGGCGCACTTGGCGCACTCGGAGCACGCGGCGCATCTGGCGAACAAGGCGTGCCTGGCACGCTCGGGTCCCACCCAGGGGTGCCTGGCGCGCGTGGCGCCCCTGGCACGCATAGCGCACCTCGCCCAAGCGTCGCGCACCTGGGGTCGGCGTGGGTTCCCAGTAGCTGTCCATCCAAAGACGACTGCTGAACATGCTCAAGCTCGGGTGTTGCCTATGTGTCGGGAGGGCGGGTGGGAGTGAGCTAGGCGGCTTGCGGGCGGGTGGGTAGCTTGACCCCTCCCCAGACACCCACCCCTGGACCTGGACAGGGCGCCCCGCGAGGTGTCAGAGGGTACGTGTTCGCCCAAGGTGGCTCCAAGAGCGCCTCGGAGAGCCCCAGATGAGCTCCAAGATGGCTCAATACCCCAAGATGCCTCAAGATGGCTCCCAAAATGCTCCGAAAGGCCCCAAGACCGCTCCAAGATGGCTCCAAGTGGCCAAGGAGCTCCCCAAGGAGACCCCGAAGAGGCACAATTCCTTCCAAAACCCAAGAGAGCATCAATGTTTTTTGTGTTGACGCCCTGTCGCTTCCGATGGCCATCCGAGGCCTCAAGATGTCTCTTCAAGATGACCCGCGAGGGCTCCAGAGGGGGTTCAAGAGAGCCCCAAGACGGTCCCAAAGAGCTCCCAAGAGCGTTCCAAGAGCGGCCCAAGAGGCGACTTCTGGGGTTCCCGATGGGCAGGGCTAGTTAAAGCTCCCCTCTTGTTTGATCGATGTCCTCCAAGATGGCCCCAAGAGCGCCCCCAAGGCCCAGGAGGCCCCCAGAGGCGCCCAGGAGGCCTGCAAAATACCCCCAAGAGTGTCTCAAGAGCGCTCCAATAGGGACCCTTCCTCTTTGTGCTGCCCACTTCCCTGATCAAGGCAACTCCTCTGGGCATCGTCTCGGGATGGGCTGGTGGGGTTACTTTTTAGTCAGCGGCCGCGGGCGAGCGCGCCGGCGGCGAGTCCGGTCAAAGCGGGGCACGCAGCGACGAATTAGCTTAAAACGACGGACGGTGGCCACACCTACAGCGGCTAACCGGGACCTCACGCAGCAGCTCAGCGGCGGACCGGCGAGTGAGGGGGCAGCTGAAACTGAGTCGAACTGCCAGCGCGCAAGTATGCATAGCGTCGGGAGCACCAGGAAGTCGGGACACACGACGACCCGGGCCAGAAGCCGAAATCAACGCATGGACGCAACCCTGGACAACTGCGTGAGTACCAGGGTGGCCTCAAGGACCGTCGGTCAAGGTCGAATTAATGCCGAGACGAGGCGAGAGCGTTGGCAGGCTGCGAAATCCCAGGGTGGCCGTAGCCGCAGTCCCGAGGCAGCAGAACGCACGAGTGCGGGAAGCAGGGCTGGTGGGGTTACGCGAAGCGTCTAGAGTTTCCCGGAAAAAAGGCGCTTGCACTTACAGGGTCTTACCCCTGTTTGCGAGATTCTGGATGCGACTTCCAACTGTTCGACTCGATGCCGCACAGATCCCGCCCGCTGCCTCCCCGCTGCCGCCGCACAGCCGCACCGCTGCAGCACCATTGCCGCCCTGGTTGCCGCCCAGTTGCCGCCCCGTTGCCGCATCGTTGCCGCCCTGCTTCTTTGAATTGATTTGGTTTCATCGAACCGGAACAGAAACAAGAGTGTCATCGTCGAGTGTCGCTGGCAGAAACAAGCCGAGGAGCCTACGCAACCATCTGTGGACTGGCAGATACATGGACCAGCAACTCACCAGTGGGCGCGCCGGGAGGGCCAGACCGCGGCTGAGCGGCGAAGGGAAGTCCTGGTGGCCCACATTGTCCTGCGTCGCTCGACTGATGAGCGGGCGCATCATAGCGCACGATCACGCCAGGCTTGCCTCTGCGACTGAGAACACATTGGTTTTGTGCGTCTTGTCCGCGGGCACGTCGTCCACCAGGGACAGACGCTTGGCACACGCCTCTGGAGGAACAATCACGTCCCCGTGGTCATCGTCTCCCAGAAGACCTCCGACAGCAAACCCTGCTCGCCCTAGATGCTTCACGTACACATTCAAGTAGCGGAGGCCACCATCCGTATGCCCATGCACGACTTTCAGCTCAACTTTACCCAGAGTAACCCATTCGGGAGTCTTGACCTCATACTGCGACACGCTGTAGTGATACCCACCAGCCTGTTTCGCATCTGCCCACGACCCCGTAATGTTCATCTCCTGGAAGTACATATCCGCGCAATGTCCTCCCAGTCGGCGCGCATCGGCCTGGACGCGAAGCAAAGCGTTTTCAGCGCTCATTCCACGAGGGATGTTGATCAGAACATGGCTACCCGCCTTCATCAAGTCGAACCGGTCACCGTGAATGTTTTGAAGGTGGGGATCACCGGTGGCAGCAGCTCCGCCAGGAGCAGGGCCCGATCCTGCAAAAAGCCATGCTTGGTGTTGGAAGCTCTGCACCCCAGACGACCCGGCGCCATGTATGAAGTACTCACCGAAAGGGGCGTTGACATTGTTGGGCCAGTTCTGCGTTTTCAGCCCGATCCCTACAGGAGAGTCGGCATCGCTGCCGTCAGAGGACTGGCAACTCTGGTCAGGAAGGTTCACGCAATACCCGATGCGGGCCCAGTTGTTATCATTGCACTGGGTGTTGATTCCCGGCCGCTGCATATCGCAATTGCCACCTCCGTTCCCATTCCAGAAGTCGTCGTACCAGGTGGCCGTTCCTGGCGGCAGAAACAAATCGGTCCAGGCCTTCTTTCCCTCGGCAGCGGTTCCAGAGCCATAACCCATGTTGAGGCTGCGGATGAAACCCGAGCTGAAAAGCGATTGCGCGCTGGTGTACGTCGCGCCCAGTTCGTAAGTGTAGCAGTTGTCCAACGTCTTGTAGCACAACGTGAGGGCAGAGATCGAAACTGTGTTGAACGCCGACATCTTGACATCCTCGTCGTCAGAGTCGCTGCTCGAAGCACCGCTGGCTTCGTTCAACACCGAACTGCCATCTGTCCAATAACTGGAGTCGAACTGGAAAGTGCTGGAGCCCGCCTTCAGCTTCATTAACAATGTCGCGCCAGATGTCGGGCTTGGCGTCGGGCTGGGCGTCGGGCTTGGCGTCGGGCTGGGCGTCGGGCTGGGCGTCGGGCTGGGCGTCGGTGACGGAGTTGCCGGCGTTCCTGGCGTGGGTGCCAAGGCCACCAGGTTGACAGTGGCCGGGGTCGCAGGAATTCCAGTGACATAGCCAGTGCGCTGCGAAGCCGTCAGGAGAGCCCACCTCTGTGAATCGGTCATGGATCCCGCTGTTGGGTTGTCCTCGTACATGATGGCCGCGAGCCCAGAGACGTGCGGACAGGCCATGGACGTGCCAGAAGAAATACCCGTTGCGGTGTTGCTGCCGATGTACGTCGATTTGATGGACGTGCCCGGAGCCCAGACATCGATGCAAGAGCCGTAATTGCTGAAGGACGACTTGGCCCCTGCTGAATCATAAGATGCAACCGTGATCGCCGACGGGATCCAGGCCGGATTATAGTTGCACGCGTCATCGTTTTGGTTCCCGGCAGCAACCACTACTGTCACGCCATCGGCCACCAACGCGTTGATCGAGGTCTGCTCCGATGTGACCGCGCCGGGGCCTCCAAGACTCATGCTGACCACTGCCGGCCTTAAACCAGACGTCAAAACATATTGTTCGGCAACAATGGACCACATTGTGAAGCCTTCGCCTTGGTCGTCGAGGACCTTCATTGCCCACAAGGTCGCGCCATTCGCGACGCCATATGTCGAGGAACCCACCGTGCCCGCGCAGTGGGTGCCGTGTCCATGGAAGTCTGCAGCACACGTTGTGCTGCTGGGCGTGCACACTGTGTAGGTCCCCGTGGAAGCCATGTCCAACCCAGCGAATGCCCGGCCGCCAAACTCGACGTGGGTTGTAAGAATGCCAGTGTCCAGCACATACACGTTCACCCCCGCGCCCCGACCCCTGACCACGTCCGCATCGATGTCTTGGATGCCCCACGGGTAGGTCCGCCGAGTGGCTCCGTCTGGAACGATGTGCTCCCAGGCCCTTTTGACGAAAGGGTCCTCTTCGCTAGGGGGTTCGAACATCCACGCAATCACTAAAGAGAGCGAGGCGACAAAAAATTATCCCAGTGCGACCCTACCTAGGAGTTGGAGCCCCTAGGAAAGCAGCATTAGTAGTAACAGTAAAGCTAAGCAGCTAAAGCTAAGCTAAAGCTAAACTAAAGCTAAGCTAAAGCTAAGCTAAAGCTAAGCTAAAGCTAAGCTAAAGCTAAGCTAAAGCTAAGCTAAAGCTAAGCTTAAAGCTAAGCTTAAAGCTAAGCTAAAGCTAAGCTAAAGCTAAGCTAAAGCTAAGCTAAAGCTAAGCTAAAGCTAAGCTAAAGCTAAGCTGATACGAAGCTAAATCTAAGCTAAAGCTAAGCTAAAGCTAAGCTAAAGAAAAGCTAAAGCTGAGCTAACGCTAAGCTAAAGCTAAGATAAAGCTAAGCTAAAGCTAAGCTAACGCTAAACTAAAGCTAAACTAAAGCTAAACTAAAGCTAAGTTAAAGCTAAGCTAAAGCTAAGCTAAAGCTAAGCTGATGCGAAACTAAAGCTAAGCTAAAGCTAAGCTAAAGCTAAGCTAAAGCTAAGCTAAAGCTAAGCTAAAGCTAACGCTGCGCTGCGCTAGGCTAAGCTGAGCTAAGTTAGGCTAAGCTGAGCTAAGCTAAGTTAAGCTAAGCTAGGCTAGGCTAAGCTAAGCTAAGCTCTTTGTCTTCGTTATGTTTGCTTTGCTTTGTCGTGCTTTGCTGTGCACCCAGCGACAGCAGGCTGTTCAGCACTGCTCGCGGCTCCTGCAAGTGCTGCAGGCTGTTCAGCACTGCTTGCACTGCTGCAGACTGTTCAGCACTGCTTTGCTGTGCACCCAGCGACAGCAGGCTGTTCAGCACTGCTGTTGCTGTTGTTGCTTTGCCTTTGCTTTGATGCTGCGCTATGCTATGCTATGTTATGCCATGCTGCGCTATGCTATGCTATGATATGCTATGCTATGCTGCGCTATGTTCCGCCATGCTGCGCTAGGCTATGCTATGCTATGCTATGCTAGGGCATGATAGGCTGCGCTATGTTATGCTAGGCTATGATATGCTATGTTACCCTGCGCTATGCTATGTTATGCTATGATATGCTACATTATGATATGCTATGATATGCTGCGCTATGCTATGCAATGCTAGGCTATGCTAGGCTAGGCTATGCTATGATATGATATGCTGCGCTATGATATGCTATGATATGCTATGCTATGCTGCGCGATGGTATGCTATGCTATGATATGCCATGATATGTCATGTTATGCGATGATCTGACATGATGTGATATGATATGGTGTGCTATGCTAAGCTATGATATGCTATGATATGTTATGTTATGATATGCTGCGCTATGTTATGATACGATATGCTGTGCTATGATGTGCTATGCTAATGCTGCACTGCGCTAAGCTAAGCTAAGCTAAGCTAAGCTGATATAAACTAAGCTAAGCTAAGCTAAGTTAAGCTAAGCTAAGCTAGGCTAGGCTAGGCTAAGCTAAGCTAAGCTAAGCTAAGCTAACGCAAGCTAAGATGAGATAAGCTAAGCTAAGCTAAGCTAAGCTAAGATGAGATAAGCTAAGCTAAGCTAGGATATGATAAGCTAAGCTAAGTTAAGCTAAGCTAAGCTAATCTAGGCTGGGGGAACCCAGGGGGCGCAACTGGGGGAACCGCCCGGGGCGAGCCCCACTGCCCGGCCCCATTTAAGCAAACAGAGTAAGAACCCTCTAGGCAGAGCCTAGGTAGGGAAAAAGACTACCTCTCTCTCTATCGCTCTCTTCCAAGACCTTCCCACTCCCTTCCTGGTCCTCATCCATACTGGTCGCAATCCATGAGCGATCTACAGTCTTGTAGCAAACCGTGCTAGTCCAATACATGTGGTGCAGTACTTGCGTTGCCTGGCAATGCAAAGCACTGCAATGCAAAGTAATGCAAAAAAATACGAAGCACTACGACACAATCAAGAGCAATACAAACCTGTGCACATCCCCATTGATTGCGGTCACAGGTTGAATGCGCTTCTACAGAATCCACCACCATGCCTGAAGAGTGCTTGTATCGGCGATAACCTGACCTGCATTATTCTGGGGGGGAGGGGCTGGCCGATAACCTAACCTTCGCGCCGCGGACAGCCCTGCATATGCCCGCGCGCACCAGTGCTGCGACCCCTACATATGCTAACGATGCTGCGACGATGCTGCTGTGGGTACTGCGACGATGCGGGCGCCGTCTATAGAGTCCTCTTCGAAAGCATAATGCCTGGATGCATCACGATGCCCGCCTGCCCCGCGTGGCCTGCGTGCACTTACGCTTGCGTGCACCACAACGTTGACAACGCCTGCGTACACAACAGATCCTGCTGCAGCAGCATCAAAATGCGTGCACTAAATCGCCTCGCTGCCTGCGCACAACGTAAGGCCCGTGCACACGCTGCTCACGTGCACCTCTGGATGCCGATGGACGACGTCGGCCGTCGCAGTCGCCGTCGCCGCCGCCGCCGTCTTCGTCGTCGTCGAAGTCGTCGTCTCCCCCTGCCACTCCAAGCCTCAACGTTTCACCAACGTATATTCAAACACCAGCATGCTGTTGCGCACAACACCGCGCCATTGAACACAGCGCTCCCTATGAGCTCCCTGCGCCCCCCAGCCCCGGACCTTGCTCAACCAACAAGGAGAGGTTATCCCGGGGGGGGGGGGCGAGACCGATAACCCGGTATATCGCTGGACCCCCACAAAAAACAGTCTCCTGCACGGAGTGCGCGAGTTAGAATACTCGTCTGTTGCCTAGAAGGTGTTTTTTCTACTTTTCCAGGGCCCCCACCCCTCCGGGAGGCAAGACTCGAAAACCGTCCCCTCAGAAATTGCTTTCGGAGGGTCTTTTCCGGCCTTCAGACGGCCAAGATGGCCTCCAAGACAGCTTCCAAGACAGCCAAGACGACAATGAAGCGATTCAAGCTGGCCCAAGACAGCTCAAGAGGCCCGAAGACGGCCCAAGAGGCCCGAAGACGGCCCAAGAGGACTCCAAAGAGGCATCCAAGACGGCTCAAGAAGCTGCAAGAGGCCTTCCTAGAGAGCCCGAGAGGAGCCCAAGCCAATGATTTGCTTTAGCTGTTACGTTCGGGTTTCCGACCACCCAAGACGGCTCAAGAGGCTTCCAAGATGCCTCCAAGATAGCTCCAAGACAGCCCATGGGGCCCCCAAGAGGGCCCCAAGTTGGCCCAAGTCGACCCAAGAGGACCTACAGATCGCCAATGGGCCCCCACAAAGGGCCCCACAAGACGGCCTTGAAGCGCTCCAAGAGGAGCAAGACGGCCAAGAGACGGCTCCTTGGGCGGTCACCTCAAAAGACTTCAAGACCTCGGGAACGTCCATGTGTTTTGCCTCCTCGGGCTCTCCCGGAGGGCCTCTTAGAGACCTCCTGAGCCGTCTGGGAGGCCTCTTGATCTGTCTTGAGGCCTTCTTGTATGCCTCATTGCCTCTAGGACAATTTTCAAGGCAGCCAAGATGACCGCCAAGATGGCCCAAGATGGCCCAATACGGCTCAAAAGGCTCCCAAGACAGCACCAAGAACGAATAAGAAGCCCCAAAGACGGCCCAAGAGGTCTTCAGGAGGCCCTCCAGGAAAGCTCGAGGAGGCCAAACCCATTGATGCTCCTCAAATGTTTGAAAAAGAATGAGGTTCTGGCATGTTCGGGCTTCCGAGCGAACAAGACGGCCCAAGAAGCCTCCAAGAGGCCTCCTCCAAGATAGCTCCAAGACAGCCCAAGAGGCCCCCAAGAGGGCCCAAAGTCAGCCCAAAAGGACCCACAGATCGCCAAAGGGGCTCCCAAGGGTGCCCCAAGACGGCCATGCACCGATCATAGATGGCACCAACGCGGCCTAGAGAGGCCCCAAAGGCGGCCTCCATAGGCGTCAGACGGACCACGACCCGCTACGTCAGACCGCCCAGGAGGCGCCCAAGAGGCCCGCCCCAAAGAGGCCCCCAAGAATGCATTGGGGAAGCTCCCAGGATGCCCCCAGGAAGCCCCAAGAGGGCCGCAAGAAGTTTTCTCCTCTTGATCCCCATTTTCTCGCTCTCCTCCTCCTCCTACTTCCACTCCTCCTCTTCCTCCTCCTCCTCCTCCTATTCCTCCTCCTCCTCCTCATCCTCCTCCTCCCTGTAAGTATCGTCATCATATTCATCTTCAGCTTCTTACTCATCATCATCATCATCATCATCATCATCATCATCATCATCATCATCATCATCATCATCATCATCATCATCATCAGCAGCAGCAGCAGCAGCAGCATCAGCATCAGCATCATCATCATCATCAGCAGCAGCATCAGCATCAGCATCATCATCATCATCATCATCATCATCATCAACATCATCATCATCATCATCATCATCATCATCACCATCATCATCATCATAATAAGCATCATCGTCATCATCAGTATCATCATTATCATCGGCAGCAGCAGCAACATCATGATCATAATCATCCGCATCAGCATCAGCACCCGCATCATCGTCATCGTCACCATCCCCATCACCACCACCACCAGCATGATCATCATCAACAGCACCAGCATCATCACCGTCATCGTCAGCATTACCGCCATCAACACCATCACCATCATAATCAGCATCAGCAACAACAGCAACTGCAACAGCAACATCATCATCATCACCGTCATCAGTATGATCAGCATCGTCAACAACATTGGCATCAGCATCAGCAGCAGCATCACCATCGTCATCCTCAACTATAAATTAATCCTCAACAGCAGCATCGTCAACATCATCGTCATCATCATCATCAGCATCATCATCATCCGGAGCTGCAGCATCATCATCATCATCCTCATCATCATCGACAGCAGCACCATCATCGTATCAGCATCATCAGCATCAGCATCACCAGCATTGTCAGCATCATCAGCATCATCATCCTCAGCATCAGCATCAGCATCATCAGCAACACCATCAGCATCATCAATATCATAATCGTCATCATGATAATCAGCATCATCATCGTCATCATCATCAGCATCATCATCATCGGCAGCAGCATCATCATCAGCAGCAGCGTCGTCGTCGTAAGTACTGGCTTCATCATCATCAGCATCGTCATCATCAGCAGCAGCATCAGCATCAGCATCAGCATCATCATAATCGTCAGCAGCAGCATCACCATGCCCATCATCAGCATCACCAGCATCACCATCTTGGAACTACATTAGAGGCATCCAGGAGGCCTGTAAGGTAGCTCCCAGACAGCCCAAGAGAACGCAAAGAGGGCCCAAAGCCGGCCCAAGAGGACCCAAAGATCGCCCAAAAAGCTCCCAAGAGGGCCCCAAGACGGCCGTGAACAGCTCATAGATGGCAACAACGCGGCCCAGAGCCGCAAAGGCGGCCTCCATAGGCATCAGACTGGCCAAGAGTCTCTCAGACCGCCCAAGAGGCCCCAAGAGGCCCCCAAGAGCCCCCAAGAAGCGTTCAGGATGCTCCCATGCGGCCCTCAGAAAGCCTCTTTGCCCCAAGAAGCTTTCTCCTCCTCCTCCTCCTCCTCCTCCTCCTCCTCTTCCTCCTCTTCCTCCTCCGCATCATCATCATCATCATCATCATCATCATCATCATCATCATCATCATCATCATCATCATCATCATCATCATCATCATCAGCAGCAGCAGCAGCAGCAGCAGCAGCAGCAGCAGCAACAGCATCATCAGCATCATCAGCATCATCATCATCGTCATCATCAGCAGCATCATCATCAGCATCATCAGCATCAGCATCATCAGCATCATCAGCATCAGCATCGGCATCTTCATCATCATCCTCATCCTCATCATCCTGAGCATCACCATCATCCTGAACAGCATCGTCCTGAACATCATCATCAGCATATCATTATCGGCATCACCAACATCATCAGCTGCATCATCAGCAGCATCGGCATCAGCATCAGCATCATCATCATCATCATCATCATCATCATCATCATCATCATCATCATGAGCATCATCATCAGCATCATCATCATCAGCAGCAGCATCATCATTACCATTATCCTGATCATCATCATCAGCAGCAGCATCATCATTTTCCGCCTCCCTATCGCGCAGACGAAGACGAGGCCGGGATCACGACATGCCCCAGTGCAGACTACTCGTTGGACTTGCGCTGTTCCTACAGTCGGCCTCCTCCCTGCTGCGATGTTGCACAGGCACAGTGGCGGGGTGTGCCACAGGCAGCTGGATAACAATTGCTACGCCGTCGTCGGTGTCGTCGTTGCCATCGCAATCGTCAGGCTCGTCATCATCAAAGGCGCAACCTACGGCCACGAACAATCAGAGAACCCCACGGGGCACAAGCCATGATGGCCACTCAAACTCCTCGCCCCCCCAGTGGCAATCCATGAGCGGTACAACCGATGGCCAGCCGAAACCCTCACACCGCCAGAACCCATGGGCACAGCCTATGGCGCAACCCTCACGGGCACAATCTACGGCCACTCAAACTCATCGCACCCCCAGGCGCAACTCACGGGCGCAACCCTTTGGCGCAAACCTATGGCCACCCAAAATCCGCGCACCCGACTAACCCATGGGAACAGCCGATGGCGCGACCCCCATAGGCACAATTTACGGCCACTCAAACTCATCGCATCCCCAAGCGCATCCCGTGGTCTTGATCTGCTCACGGAAGACCCGCGCGCCCCCATACCCAGCTCGTGCATTGCAAATGCCATGTTCTAAGGGCCAGCACTGCTTGGGGAATAGTGTTGTTGTCTGGGGTGCCCTGAGGTAATTCCCGCAAGGCCCCACTGCGAGTGCCTCATTGAGCACCGGGAGCGCGAGGGCGGCGGTGCTCAAAGGGGTACTCGTCGAGGCCAGTCGGCGATCACAGGAAACAGTTTGCACGTCCAACTGATCCTTGGGTCAGCGGAGATATGCATACCGATGACTACACCCATCTCTCATTTATTTACACCTTTTTTGACCTCTAGGGAAGCCCTCGTCGCCACGGCTGGATTCGCCTCGGAACCCTAGTCAGAACACACCCTGGGGAGGTCGGGGAATTGCGGTATGAATATCTTGTTGTTCCCCCTATGATGGGATGTTATTTCAACACAGGTCCTCTTCGCATGAGACCACGAGCGCGGGGTACTTGCTAATGGTCGCGTCCTTATCTGCTTCTGTCAAGAAGCCATGCACAAATTTCTCCGGACATTTTGCTCCTGGCGGACATTCCTCAGTGCCGGTGCAGAACGGGTTCTGGAACTCATTGCACAATGTCTTCACTTCGTCAGCCGTAGCACTGCTGCTCAGTGTGCACAACCACGACGTCAGACCATTAGGAGTGTGGGACACGACTACCGAGGACGCCGATAAAGACTGCCTCGAAGCATTCGTGCCAGTTGTCGACATCTGCATCAGCTCGAGGTCAACTGCAAAGGCCAGGCTGGACACGCCGCTGGCCACGACCAGGCTGGCGAACAACACGGCATGCGCCATCTGTGAGACAACTGCAGCAAATAGCTGTCGTAGAGATGAGTGTGCGGAGTGCGCGGATGAGGTCAAAATGCTGAAGGCCAGCCTGAAGTAAACCAGCGTGAGCCAAAATGGACACGAGGAAGCGTAGGGAAGCATTTGGGAAGCCCCTCGAAGACTCTTGGGTGCAATGCGGCAGCCCTAGTGCCCCTGGAAGCACAACCGCGCGGGACGACCACGGGACAACCACGGAACGACCGCAGGACAACCACGGGGCAATCGGGGGGACAACCGCAAACGACAACTCACGAACAACCGTGGGGCCCCTGGGCCACCTTCCGCGACGAGAGAGGTCAGCGGTGTTGCTAAACATGCCCATATGCTCCAGCTCGCGATCGCCTCTCGTACAAAACGCTCCCCAGAACCTCGAACCTCCCCCCTGCTGGCCGGAACCAGTGCTGTGCCACCTGCGACACCCAGCGGGCTCCCAACAGAAAGCATCTTCGGGACCAGCTCAACACGAAGATTGAAAACGCACGTATTTTCTCGGTACGTTCGTCAGAACATGGGCCCCACCACGTTGAGCCAACACGCAGCTCGTTAGCACGGGCGTGTCAAACACGGTACGTGTTGCGTTTCAAAATGGGCGTGTCAGGGGCAGCCAAGCTACAGTCGACCCGTATCATCAGGACACACGATGAGGCAGCAAGGGCCCTGGAAGACCATTTCGAAGCTTCGCGAGCGGGGCGCGGCCAGCGAAAGTGGCCCAGGATGGGCCGAAGTGGCAAGGATGCCAGGGTACCCTTGGGAAGGTTGCTGGAGGCCTCCTAGATGGGGTCCGAGTAGATGGGGTCGGAGGAGCGCGCCAGATCAGCGATGCATCGGCGATGCGCCGGCGATGCATCGTCGACGTGGGCGATGCATCGGCACTGTCGACGTGAAGCACATCAGGCTCCGCACCGAGCCGCGCCGGTGATGCATCGGCGCTGCGGCGGGGTGCTCCGGCCCCCGCCTGCTCCGACCCCCTCCTGGGAGGCCCAGGGCTGCCCCACGAGAGCGCTCTCAGGACTGCGCCCGCTGCCGGCGGCGCCCTTTGGGCGCGGGGCGCGCCGCCTGCCCAGCGCCCAGAGGCCTCGCCGCCCCTCGGCCGCCACTCGCGGGGCCCCTGCGGAGGCCGGTGGAGTCCCGGGCCCCTGCGAGCGCCGCGGAGGTTCCCCGGAGCTGCCAGCGGGGGCGCGGAAAAAGGGGAGCCCTCTCGAAGGAGAGCGCGAGGCGGGGCTCAATCCAGATCCACCGCCCGGGAACCGACGTCCTGGTGCCCCAGCTGGCGGTGGATCACGGTGGGTATGGACATGGTGTGGTCCCAGGGGGCCCGAAGATATCCATATCCACGGCCTGTGGAAGACCGCGAAGATCGATCCCCCGGGCGGTGATCATGGATAAAACCCCGCCTCGCCAGGATAGGCGACGTCGGCGTGGAGACAATTGGTCTCCGCGTCGAGCCGCATCGCCGATGCAACGACGGTGCACCGCGATCCTCCGACCCCGTCTGCTGGAACCCCATCAGACAGGCCTGGCACCACACTTGGTGGGGTCGATCCTCAGGCGAAAAGGAAAGAACGAACAAAAAAAGAAAAAGAGGCTACGCGTTTCGCCCCTTCGGGGATCTCTGGGCCAAATTGTCTAATTAAGGTGCAAGGTCGAACGAGCATCGTCGACGCACCTGAACGCACCCACCCTGCCGGCTGATCGAGGCGAAGTACACACGTGAAGTAAGCGGAACATGTTCCTCTGCACTCCCAGAGGCCCGTGCGGAGTCCCTGGATCGCCGATGAATCCCCTCTGGCGCGATCCGCGCGCCAGGGAGTGGGGAGGCTTTCTTGTCTTTCGCCAGGCAGCGCTTACACTCAAATGTGGGTTCTTACTTGCGTCCCCAAGGAATCAGATGGATCCGCCGAAGTTCCGCCACATTGCCGCGCGCGGGCGCCTCCTTGCCGCCCACCGCGCTCGGAGGATCCGCAAAAAGATTTCGCCACGTCGCCGCCCGTGGGCGCCTCTTTTCCGCCCACCGCGCTTGCGAACCGCCGCCACGTTGCCGCCGATGAGCGCCTCGCTGCCGCCCACCGCGCGCGGAGGGTCCGCCGAGATCTACGCTGCCGCCAAATGAGCGCCTCTTTCCCGCCCACCGCGCCTGGGAACCGCCGAGGCTTCGCCGCGCTGCCGCCGACGAGCGCCTCGTTGCCGCCCACCGCCATCGGGGGGTCAGCCGAGGCTTCGCCACGCTGCCGGCCGTGGGCGCCTCGCTGCCGCCCACCGCGCTCGGTGGATCCGCCGAGGTTTCGCCACTGTGCTGTCCGCTGCCGCCTCATTGCCGCCTCGTGCGCTGGCTGGGTGTCTCGATGTGTCGCCACGTTGGCGCCTGCTGCCGCCACGTTGCGGCTTGCACCACACAGCTTACACCGCAGAAATCACACGGCATGGCCCACATCGCGCAATTTACACAGCACTGCGTTCACATCCAGTTCACACCACCTAGCTTACCAGACATAGTTGATGTCACGTAACTTGCCTCGCACAGCTTTCACCTCGTCCGGTCAAACCACATAGCTCACACCATATTTATGAGGAGTCTTTGAAGGGCCTGGAGCCCAAATTGCCAGATCTCTTGGGGCTTGGCGCGGCTCAGCACCGACTGTCGCTTGACCATTTCGGAACCAAGGGAGCCCCAAGACAGGCCAAGTGGGCCCAAAACAGTCAAAGAGGGTTCCGAGTCGCCGAACGACCGCTCCAAGACGCTTAAGATGGTCCCCGGACGGCCCAAGAGGCCTCCGAGACGCCCAAAGAGGCCTCCGAGAGACCTCCCAAGAGGGCCCCGAGGGGCCAAAGTCATTGATTTTTCGTCGGTTTTTTACAATCAGGGGAGTTCACGCCTTTTCGGCTTCCCCACGCTCCCAGACCCAAAAACGACCCAAGAGGCACAACTGACGGGCCCCAGGGGTGCCTGGCGCACCTGGCGCGCGTGGCGCGCCTGGCACGCCTGGCACACGTGGCGCAACCCGCCCCAACGTCGCGCACGTGGGGGTTGTGCTGGTTTCCAGTAGCACGCTGAGGTTCGGGTGCTACTTCTGTGTTGGGAGGGCGGGTGGGAGTGAGCGAGATACTTTGCGGTCGGGGAGGGTGTCTTGTCCCTCGTTCTAACCCATACGCCTGGGCCTGGATGGGGGGGATTCGCGGGTCGTTGGAGGGTCCAAGATGGCCTCGACGAGGAGGCAAACATCACTGATGCTACTTAGGTGTTGAGTTAATTGTTGCCTCCTTGGGGGGGGGCGTTCAGATGGTACCCCCCTCTTTGATCGAATTCCTCCAAGACGGCCCCGAGGAGGCCCCCAAGGCCCCGAAAGGCGCCCGGGAGACCTCAAGAGGCCCCAAAAATGGCCCCAGGTGGTTCCCAAGAGGCCCCCAACAAAAGGCCTCAAGAGGCTCCACCGAGACACCCAAGACGCTTCAAGGGGCCCCCGGGACCGCCAAGGGGCCCTCAAGATGCCTCAAGAGGCCTTCAAGAAGCTGTCAAGAGACACCCGAACTGACTCCGAGAAGCATAGAAGAGGCCTCTGGTCTGTCTGCACACCCTTTCCTCCTCCTCCTCCTCCTCCTCCTCCTCCTCCTCCTCCTCCTCCTCCTCCTCGATCCTACCTCCCCCGCCTCCCCCGATCCTCCTCCGATTCCTCCTCCGAATCCTCCTCCATCATCTTCCTCTTGGAGTTCGACGTCCTACCCAGCACAGTATTCTCTTGCACGGGAATGTCTAGAGCTCCGACCACTGTATTTCGGCGTCGCACCGCCCACGCCGCCCCGCCCCCCCCCCCCGCCCCTCTACCCACGCACCCACACCAACCACCACCACCACCACCAGCGTGACACCGCCCCCCGCCCAATGCTCCGCCCCGATCATATCATTTCGGCGTCGCACCGCCACCCGCCCAATGCCGCTTCTACCCTGGAGACCCCGCCCCCTTCCGCCCGGACCACTTTATTTCGGCGTCGCACCGCCCCCACCGTCCCGCCCCCACGACTTTTCTCCCCCCCCTAGCCGCCCTGTGTTCCCCGCCCCCCTCCGCCCCGACCACTATATTTCGGCGCCGCGCCACCCCCGCCGCCCCGCCCCCCCGACGGTCGGCGTCGCAACCCCAGAAATCTGAGACCGCGCACCGAAAAGCGGAGACTCGGAAACGAAATCGTCTGCCCTGGAATTCAGCAGCCCAACTTCGGAAAGGAAGAGACCCCTCCCCAGAAACCGCCACCCCCATGACCAATAGACTCTACCTTGAAAACTACGTGACTAATAGCCCCTACCTCCGCAGCGCGGGACGAGCCTGGGCCAGGGATTGCCAGACGAGCGGGACGGCAACCCCACTCTCGCGCGCCCATTGCCGCGGGCGAGGCGGAGGAGGAGGAAGGGGAAGGAGGATGCGGGAAGGGAAAGGGAAGGAAAGAGGCGCAGGCCCGCCCTTTCAGGCGCCAGCGGCTGCCAGACGCCGCGCCCGGCAACCGCTCCCCAGCGCCTCCCCCCCCGGACAGCGGGCCGAGCCCCCAGGCCTGAATTGCCGGACGGCCGGGCCGGCAACTCCCCGCGCGCGCGCCCCTTCTCCGATTTCTCGTCCCCTCTCTCCTCTCTCCCCCCTTCCTCTTCCTCCTCCTCCTCCTCCTCCTCCTCCTCCTCCTCCTCCTCCTCCACCTCCTCCTCCTCCTCTTCCTCGTCCTCCTCCTCCTCCCCCCTCCCTTCTGTGCAAGAGCCATGGCACGCGTGCCACTCGTTACACTGCATGCTCCTCAACATCCCTGATCAAGGCGGCTCGTCTGGCCATCGTTTCTGGATAGGCTGGTGAAGGTTCGCGAAGCGCCTCGTCTAAAAGATGGTTCGCGTTTTCCGTATTTTTCCCCGACACAAATCCCATGATCCCCCATATGTTCCAACAGCCAGCTTCCTGGATGTTCGCCTGCCCCTCCACTTCCGAAATGTTCCACATATCTATATATATATATAGTCTGCATGGTCTATCCAGGCGGTGAACAATTCTGCTACTGCGTATCGTCCGTCATAGCGAGAG